TCTCTCTCTCTCTCTCTCTCTCTCCCTCCTTCTCTCTCTCTCTCCCTCCCTCTCTCTCTTTCTCTCTCTCTCTCTCTTTCTCTCTCTCTTGTATACACAGACACCCCGCCGGAAAGAAAAAAGAACTGCATGCATCATTAGTGCAGCACCAAGTTGCGCATGGGGCACATGCACCGCACGGTGCACCGCAAGTATGTATAGTAGTAAAGTACTGCTTTCAGGATGCGAACCTACTAGGATGTTATGGATTGGTTGCGAAGCATGACCACATTGGTTTATTGAGCTTGATTTTCTTGCTTCCTAAGTTTGCAATCACTTGATTGTGGCAAGTTGTCAACAATGACAAGTGTCTTTATTGGATGATAATTGTGTATGCTGCAATTTTGAGACTTGATCCTTTCCTCCCCCTGACTATCTGGTACCTTGTCCATCCTCTGGCAGCTTTATCGAGAGGGAGGAGTAAGGTCCTTGTATGCAGGCTTGCTTCCAACTTTAACCAGAGCGTTTCCAGCAAATGCTGCTGCAGTTGTTGCCTACGAACTGTCCTTGCGTGCACTCAACGCAGTCCCACCATCCCTTCCTCCTTCAACCGCTCCGTTGAAGGAGGCCTCGATGAGTGCAGCAGACAATCAAGCACGGAAGATGAAGCCAACCCTATGAAGCAGCGGTGATGGCGGAATCAAATAATTTCGGTGTGGCACTTCCGTGACAAGTTTCAAGTTTCATCCTTTTTTCTTTCTCTGTCCCCCCCCCCCCTCTTCCTTTTCTGTTTTATTGATTGTGGGCCATGCCTCCCTTTGTTTCCTGGGGTGGCTTACTTTCTACCTTGGAGGTAGGTGGACACAAGGGGAACAGGAGGAAGGCCAGGGGGGAAAGGGGAGAGAGAGGGGGGGAGCTTGGAGGGGCAGGTGGGAGGAGGAGGAGGAGGAGGTCAGTTTTTGCATTTTTTTTTCCAACTTTCAGTGCTTCAGATGCCTTTTCAAGTGCATGTAATTTTTTTTTGCTTTTCCCAGTTTCTTGTGTTCCCGGTTGCAAAAGATTTGAACCGGCCCATGCAGTTCTATATGTATCTGATACCTGATATCTCGAACCGTGAACAAAATAACACAACCATTGGCTCGCTGGTAAGGGCAACGATCACTCTTCCACGGATTTCTTTCTTCTCTTTTTTTTTTTTTTTTTTTTTTTTTTTTTTTTCCTTCTGTGC